GGCAGCGCTGGGAAACTGGTCATCGGGCAGTGTTAGTCGCGCTTTGGTGAAACACCCGCGTCAGCTGACCCCGCCTGCTGTGTCATCACTACTGACGTTGCTCATTGATTACAAAAATCTTCCCAGTTTCCCAGTTGCATACCGGGGACCTGAGACAAATGAAAGACAAGGGAATGAGAAAGCACTTTTGGTAGTCAGAAGTAGCTGAAGAGAAAAATAAATGCGACCGTAGGTTGAGCTCGATATTTATGAATTTTCACACAAGTTTTTACAACCTGAGACCTAGAAAGGATATTAGACATGTCCTGTTCCCGCCTTTACACACTTCCTGCTCCCTATATGGGAAAGAGATGATTTAGATTATTATAACCACAAATGAGGGAAAAAATGGACTCGGTTTTAACGAGTCCATTTCAGAATACCTGAGATAGCTTGTAAAAAACATAACTCTTGCTCATTATTGCTGCGAGGAACTTAGGGTTTGGTTTCATTTAAAGAATGGGTGGGTATGAAGTGATAGAACAGAAATTAGAGTTAGAGGATCATTTAAGTTATTGTGCAAATTGGGGCACTTTTGATGAATTTTATTTATCCCAGGGAATCTTATTTATTTATATGTTTTTATGGTGGTAGCGTTGGTTTACCACACTGTGACTCAGAGGCCAGGATTCACACCTCAGCTGTGTGCCACCACAGCTGACGCACCCTACCACTGACGCAGCCACAGTGCTGTACCCTAAGTCCTAATGCCCACTCCCCCACCCCTACAGTCAGATTTCTAGGGGTTATTGTTGGTTTGGTTTAGTTTGACCCTTTATTATATTCCACACCAGTAAATGAAATCACTTGATATTTTTTTTCTCCTTCTGACTTAATTCACTTTGCATCGTCCCTTCCCCTGCCATCCATGTTGTGCCAAAGGGCAGGAATTCATCATTTTTTAAGCATCTGAGTAATATTCCATTAGATAGATCAACTCGGATTTTTATAGTCTGCTCTTCTGTCTCTTTGTACTTAGGTTGTTTCCATAACTGGCTACTGCAAATAGTGCTGAATGATCATAGAAGTGGACATACCCTTTCAAATTAGTATTTTTTACATTCTGCAGGTAGGTAGGTAGGGAGTGGAATCACCAGATATGGTAGCTATATTATTACTATTTTGAGAGACCTCAATACTATGTTCCATAGGGGCTGTAGACTGGTCACCAACAGTGTATGAGTGTGCCTTTTCCTCCACATCCTCACTGACTCTTGTTGGTTCTGGTCTTTTTGATATGGGAAGGGCACCAAAATCATCCAAAGCAGGTCAGTAGACATGAGCCAGGACAGCCTTGGGAAAGTGGGATATTTAGTCCCTTTGTTTGGCTGTTATGGGCAAGAGATTCCACCACGCTGATAACAAAAGAGGTTTAAGAATATGGAGACAACTCTTGAGTCTTGTGCTGGGCTGAGGCCCAGAGTGTGATCAGATCAGATTGGGCAAGGGGCTGGCTTCCCCTGGGAAGAGGCGCTCTGGAAAATTTGAAGATGCAAAAGCTATCTATTTTTCTTTTCTCAAAAGAATCCTGATCCAGTGCTCTCCTCTCCTTCGCCCCTTCTAAACAGACAGCAAGAAAAGGCTCAAAAACAGAGGTTTTCTTGGAGAGGTTCCGGAACCAAACGGATTGTCTTACATCCCATTCTGGCTATTATTGCTAGGTAGCAACTACCCCCAAACTCAGTGGTCTATAATTTTTTTTAATAAAAAAAATTAAGAAGATTTAGTGTTTTTATTTATCACCTTACGTCTTCGTTAATTTTTTGTATAGTATCTGATTTTCCCCTTCCAGTGTGGTCCCTGTGGTTCTCCTACCACCATAGCACCTATGAGCCATCACCACAGTCCTTTGTTCTCCTCCCTCGCCAGTTTGGGCCCCCTCTCGCTCCCCCCCTCCTGCTGTATGCCTCAGATCCATGGTCAGCTTGAGAGCGTTGTCTTCTTTCAATAGTGGTTTAAAGCCACCACCATTTATGCCAGTGGGTTGTGTAGGTCATGGGATTGGAGAGGCCCAGGGAGGACTTGGCCCTGGCCCAGCTCCGAGGCTGCAATTGGGAAGACACAGTCTGGGGCTGTGTGACAGCTGGGGGTGAGGATCTTTGAAAACTTTCTTACATGCATGAATGTCATCTGGGCTGGGAGGCCTTGGAGATCAGGTGTACAGAGTTTTCCTTTTTAAAGATTTATTTTTTAAAATTTCTGCATATAAGAACTGGGCCAGACTTGCAAGGGGTGAGAGGGTTCACCAGAGACAGAGTGGAGAGCAGAGCAGATTTACTGAAATACACTGCCGAGAGGTCTGCTGTGTCATGTGGTTTGGCTCCCTGGCCGGGATAGAACTGTTGCTGCAGTGGCTAGTGATAGCTTCATGTGCTTTAACCTGTTACAACATCAGGGAGGCCCCCAGGTGTACAGTTTTGAATGCAAACAACTAGCTTCTCCACATGGCCTGGTTTCCTCCTGAGCATGGTGGTCTCAGGTATGCTGCTCTTCTCCCACGGCCTTAGCACATGAGAACGTCAGCAAACAAGATGGCAGCCGCATTGCCACTTCCTACCCAGTCACAGAAGTCATGTGACATCAGTTTCACTGCATGCTATTGACCAAAGTAGTCATACGCTCACCCACATTCATGGGCAGGGGACATAGACCCCATCTCTCTATGGGAAGATGATTAAAGACTTTGTGGCCATTTTTAAAAACTGCCACAGTGGGTTTGGCAATCTGGCCTTGTAGATTCTTAGGGGCTTTTTCATTGGTGCTCATGAATAGCACCAGGGAGGGCAGCCCATAGGCAGGTGGCCCGTGTTGTTCTTTACCCCATCTTCTGATGGACTGTTTTTTCTTAGAATGCTACTTTATTCCAAGGCTAAACTGAGAGCAATTGTTTGACTGGGACTACACAGAAAATGCCAGAAATTTTTGAACGAGTAGCAGCTTGAAAAAAAGCTAATGATATAGATGGAAGCAAAGTTGAGTGGCAAAACTGACCCCAGGAGTATGAAAATGGTAGGAAGTCATGTCAAAGCTTACACACACTATTGTGATTATTTTCTATTGAGTACTGTAACTGAGGCAAACCAGGATTGGAAATCCTGAATTTAGAGCAATCAGAAAAATTTCTCTGAAAAATTTGATCCTGGTTCATATTTTGCTTCTGATTTTGTTGTCAGAGAGAAGCACCTTGAGACTAAAAGGGGATGGTGGGGCCGAGTCCTGAGGTTGGATGAACCTGGAGGTTGAAAGTTTACGATGGCATCAGTAATATTTGGTTGCATTAATTTGAAGTAAGATGTCCAGAATTATATCAACCCTATTTGGAGGGAATAAAACCCTTTGCATGGGAGAAGGGTGTCAGACCTGTCTTAAAACTCAAACCCAAAACTCCCTTGTTTGAGATAATGAAGCCCTGTTGAACCCTACTGGGCCAGTGATGAAAAATGGTCTCAACATCTGGAAAATGTTGAGAATTTGACTTTATCCCCACAAGTCTGAAAATCTTTGGTGGCAGACAGGGAGGGACTAAACTCAATAGGTGGGTTTATTCACCTGTTATTATCCAGTAACTCCCAGGCTGCACAATTTAGTGTTAGAGAGCAAGGAAAAGTAACTCACTCACCTCCCTCCAGTAAAAGGCAGTTTGTTATATCGGAACAATCGATGAAAACACACACTCAGGAGGCAGCTTTTCGGTCCCTCCTGCCTCCTTTTTTAAATCAGGAAACTTTTGTTTTTGCAAAGTCAAATCAAGTTATCTATATCTATAGAAAAAGGAAATTATAATTTTATAGAAAATATAGATAAGTATAAAGAAAATAAAACTATTCCTAATTCTACCCCTTTATTTTTATGCGGTCATAAAATGTTTATGCACCCAAAAATTTTACCCACATATAATTTTGAACTAGTAACCTCTCCCACCGCCGCCCCATATAGCAATATATTATGCAATGACAATTTTATTTCGCATCCATTATGTAGCTTGGAAGACCATCCTTGCAGCTAAATAAATTGCCAAGAATAGAATGTGCACAGAGGGCAGGCAGGTCATTAAGCCTTTGAAGATCCAGATAAGAGTCGTAGTAGCAATTTACATTCCCACAAAAGTGGGTTCTGAGCCTCCCAGCACAGTGTTATTTTCTCCCTTAATCACTGCCAATCTGATAAATGAAAATGTCACTTAATGACTTTAATTAATGATTAAAGTTCGTTGATTGCTGTAAAATTGTAATGTGAAATCCTGGCTCTTACAAAGAATATACAGAGACAGTGTATGAAGAAGAAGCATCTTCTACCAATCTTTTAAGTCTTGTCTATTGGTTACTTTTGTCTTTCTTGTCTAAGGCACCTGCTACTCTTATTGCTGATTTTCAGCCGGTGTTTGTGGTAATCTTTGGGTCTGCTGTTGTATTCAGCATCTAATGATGTTTTACTTTATAAATGAACCAGGGAAATGTGTGGAATTATGGTGAAACTGGAGCAGAAATGTGGAAAATTGAGATTTTTTTCTGATTAGATATATGACAATTGTTTTGTCTTTGAAATTCCTTTTTGTCTTAATATGCTTTGTTAAGGCAAGCCTTTCTTTTGCAATGAATGCTTTATTTATAAAAATTGTGTCAGTTGCAACAATTTGTTTGCACACTTTTCTTGATTCCAGCTCCATTTTTATAGAGATTAAGAAATTAGAAGGATGGCTACTATCCAAAAGGCAAGAAACAAGAAGTATTGGAGAGCATGTGGAAAGAAGGGAAACTGATACACTGCTGGTAGGAATGTATATGACCACAGTATGAAAATTCCTCAAAAATTCAAAAATAGAAGTTCCATATAATCCAGTTATCCC